TTTTTTCCTAGATATTTTTCCTTTGGATGCTATTATAAGCAGAATTGTTTCTTTAATTTTTTTTTTTTTGATAAAACAAATCATTTTTACGTGTTAGTCTTGTACCCTGCAACTTTCCTAAATTTCTTAATTAGCTTTACTAGTTTTTTTTTGTGGATTCTTTCAGATTTTCTATGTACAAGATCATAACATCTGCAAATAGAGATACAATTACTTCTTCCTTTCCAATTTGGATGTCATTTATTTATTTGTTCATATATGTATGCATGCATGTATTTTTTGCCTAGTTGCTCTGACTAGAACTTCTAGTAAAGTAATGATTGGCAATGGTGAATTCAGACATCCTTGTCTCATTCCTTATTTTAGCAGCCCACTCTCAGTCTTTCCCCATTATTATGTTAGCTATGGGTTCTTCATAACCTCATTATTCTTAATACCAGCATGGCATTCTGTCCGGTAGATGTACCATAGTTTATTTAACTGGTACTTTATTGCTGCACTAAATAGTTTCTGATATTTTGCTATTGCCATTAGTACTACAGAGAATAATAGTGTGCATTTGTCATTTTATATGTAACCTGTATCTATGGGATAGATTTCTAGAATTGAGGATTGCTGGGTTTCTCCTTCTTTTCTGATTCTGAGGTCACTGTGTTCTACTTTTAGCTCTGAATTAAAGTAGAAAATTTCTGTGGAATAAAATAAGAACCATTAGCATAATTCAGTTAGCAGAACATAGGTGTAGGGAGATGATGTTCTAGAAGAATAAACTGGTAGTAGCATCCAGGTTATTTGGGAGACTCACTTCTGAGGAGGAATGGAGTTGTTTTTGGTAGGCCAGTGCTTCCACTGAGAACTAGAAAAATCAGGTAAATTTAGAAAATAGTAATTTTAACGTTATCAAGGAGCTATAGAAGCAACTATGACAAAAGGATTGAAACTTAGAGAAATTTGAGAGACCCTTACAGAGGTTAGCTGCAGATTTGTAACTATGTTTCCCTGAAGAGAAGTATCAGCTGAGAATATAGGTGTGGTGGCCCAGGCTGAGTGATGTTTCTAGGAGGCATTAGAGCTTTTGTGGTCACATACAACTAGAGTGACAGAACCCACTGGACTCTTAATTGCAAGGCTAGGAGGGACATTCCTTAGATTCAGTGGCTAACCCAGCCTTGAACCAACTCAGTTCCTAATAGGATTAAAGTGATCAGTCCCATTTATAACAAAACAAAGAGAGAATCCACTCTTAATATAACATGATCTTGTGCCTCTGTGATTCTTTTATATACAGTGTCCAGCATTCATTATGATATTACTAGTGCTGTGTAGTAAAATAAATTTTAATACAACATGGATGAACCTTGAAAACATGCTAAGTTAGAGAATTGAGTCACAAAAGACCACATATTGCATGATAACATTTATATGAGATGTCCAAGATCAGCAAATCCATAGAGACAGAAACTAGTTGGTGTCAGAGTCTGGGAGGGGAAGATAGCTGAAGAATGGGATTTGACTGCTAGTAGTATGGAGTTTCTTTTTTTTTGTCTTTTTCTGTGTCCGGCAATGGTTCGCAACCCTCAGTGTTGCCCCCGTACCGGACCGGGACCGGCAACGGGATCGCAACCCTTGGTGTTGCCCCCGCGCCTCGCTCAGCCAGTGAGCGGGAACCGGTCTGTATGTGGGATCCGAACCCTCGACGGGAGCGCCGCCGTGCTTCCCAAGCGGCGCACTAGCGCAGTGCGCCACCGGGCCAGCCCTGGAGTTTCTTTTTGAGGTTATAAAAATGTTCTAAGATATGATTATGGTGATGGTTGTACAGCCCTGTGAGTATACTTTTAAAATACCGAATTGTACTTTTTAAATAAGTGAATTATATCTCAGGAATATTAGCTTAGATAATAAATATCAATGAAAAAATACATAGTGGACAAATAGGTGAAATTGTTACCTGAGAAAAGGTAAAATGTCTGTAACTGTAATCACAGAGAACAGAAAAGAGGTTATAAACAATATTTGAAGAGATATTTACCAAAATTTTCAAAAGTTGGCAAAATATATTAAATCACAGATTTAAAGGGTCTCTGCGAATCCCAAGTAAGATAAATACAAATCAGACCATTCACAGTTGCATCAATAAAACAGCTTAAAACTGAAAAACAACAACAACACAAAAAGTTTAAAACAGCCAGAAGGGGAAAAAATGACACTATCTTCAAAGAAACAACAGTATAAGACTAATAGCTATCTTCTCAACAGGTCGAATTGAAGGCAGGGATATAAAGCACTTCGGTTGTTACAGTACTAGGCATTGGCATTGCAAATAGATTGGAAGAGATGGATAGATTCTTGTGAAATTTGTTAGTGGGGAACTCCTACCTTGGGAGATACAGAAAGACTCTCCTAGAGCATGCCAATGTGTATACTTTCAAAGATATCAATTTCCACATCCTCAGCTTCCACATTCACTCATTTCTGAAATTGAGCCCTGTGGTAGAAGTAATGCAATTTCTTTGTGAAGAAAGGCATACCTCTCTTGATTCTTACTATGATGCTTTGCCTTGGAATATAAAAGACTCCAGGTTGCCCAAGAAAGGAGTATTTTCAAATATTGGCATGGACGTAGAGACAATTTCTTATGAGTTAGATATCAGATCCTTTTGCAAGTCCAATACTTTCTAAATCTTTGCTTTCAACACAATTGATGTTAGCCACTATTAAAAATATGCATTGTTTGGGGCCGGCCCGGTGGCGCACTGCTACAGTGCGCTGCTTGGGAGCGCAGCGGCGCTCCCACCGAGGGTTCGGATCCCACATACAGACCGGTTCCCGCTCACTGGCGGAGCGAGGTGCGGGCGCAGCGCCGAGGGTTGCGATCCTGTTGCCGGTCCCGGCCTGGTACGGGCGCGACACTGAGGGTTGCGATCCGTTGCCGGACACGAAAAAAGACAAAAAGGAAAAAAAGTCCCGGTCTGGTACGGGCGCGACACTGAGGGTTGCGATCCGTTGCCGGACACGAAAAAAGACAAAAAGGAAAAAAAAATATGCATTGTTAAAAATAATTTTTACTGTTAGATCAGTATTTTTTTTTTAATTACTCAAGAGGTGCTCAAAGAATTGAGTGACATCATTATTCTAGTCCCATCTACTTATGTGAGTAAGATTTCTCAGGCAAAGACATAAATTTATAAAAATAAAAAGTAGAAATAGAATCAATGCTGATTCCTAGACTCATAGTTGGGAAGAGAAATAAGTAACATCCACTGCATTAAGAGTTGACACATCCTATGTGGATTCTGTCAAAGTACCAACTTTTGGTTTCGTTGATTTTTTTGTATTTTTTTTTTTTTCTATTTTCTCTTTCTTTTATCTATACTCTAATTTTCATTATTTACTTCCTTTGCTAGCTCTGGGCTTAGTTTGCTCTTCACTTTATAGTTTCTTAAGGTGCAAAGGTGATTGTTGATTTGAAATCTTTCTTGTTTATTAATGTACATATTTACATTAAATACATTTTCCTTTTAGCAAAAAAAGATGAATCATTGTAACATAAAACGTTAATAATAGAGGATAATGGTGTGGGTATATGAGAACTCTGTACTGTCTTTGCAACTTTTCTGTAAATCTAAAAAAAAAAATTGACACATCCAGTAAAATTTTACATATGCATATATTATATATATATATATATATATATATATATATATATGTATGTATGTATGTATGTATACCCAACACACATATGTTCTTTTGATGGTTTGTGTACTTATAATAGATCAATATAAAATAGCTCAACCATTGGAAAATAACACTTAAATTTTTAATATGCACAAGAAATTTTAGAATGTTGAATTTAAATTTATTTACACATGTTTTAAAAAGTAGAATAAAGAATAAATACAAAATTTTCAATCATAGAAATACAATAAACTGGGAGCCAGCCCGTGGCTCACTTGGGAGAGTGTGGTGCTGATAACACCAAGGTCACAGGTTCAGATCCCTATATAGGGATGGCCAGTTAGCTCACTTCGGAGAGTGTGGTGCTGACAACACCAAGTCAAGGGTTATGATCCCCTTACCGGTCATCTTTAAAAAAAGAAAAGGAAAGAAAGAAAAGAAATACAATAAACTGGTTTTAAAATTTTGTCAAGAAAGTGAAATAGAGATACAAATTCTTCATTGTTTAAGAAGAATTTGTTCATGCTTTTTTTTAAATGGATGATAGTATATATCACATCACTATAGAATTCAGGTAACATTGCATACACGTCAAAGAGTGAAATAACAGTTTTATCTTAACATATTAATAATGAAAAGTTTTAAATCTTAAACTTTTGAATATCTAAGAATTTATGTAGTTTTTTAAAAGTATTTTAGCAGGTTTCTGAATAAAATCTTTTAAAGATCATTGGCAAGGCCAGCACTAGGGTAATGCAGAGAGAGACACCTAGAGTTCAAAACTTAAGGAGGCTTTCACTTTCAGGGTTCTGCAAGTGCAAGGTTGGGGCTTATGGGAACCTACTAGTGAAATCCTCCTTAAATTATGCACGCTCTCTGGGGCCAGCCCGTGGCTCACTCGGGTGAGTGCGGTGCTGATAACACTAAGGCCACGGGTTCGGACCCCATATAGGGATGGCTGTTTAGCTCACTGGTTGAGCGTGGTGCTGACAACACCAAGTCAAGGGTTAAGATCCCCTTACCAGTCATCTTTAAAAAAAAAAAAAAAAAAATTATGCACGCTCTAGACATCTTGCTTGCTCAGTACTGAATAATCAGTAGATTATTCGATATATGAAATTAGTTTATAGGCTGGCTGGTTAGCTCACATGGTTAGAGCATGTTGCTGATAACACCAAGGTCAAGGGTTCAGATCCCCATACCAGCCAGATGCAAAAAAAAAAAAAAAAAAAAAAAGGAAGAAAGAAATTAGTTTGTGAAAAATTGGCTTTAGAAAAAAAATTGCAAACATAATTTTCATCAGCTTCTTTCAATTTGTTTTTCAGGGTAGGATTAAAAACTCAGCCTGAATCAAAATGCCCTGAGCTGCTTGCCAATTACTGTGACATGTTGCTAAGAAAGACACCATTAAGCAAAAAACTAACCTCTGAAGAGATTGAAGCAAAGCTTAAAGAAGTGGTACATAAATGTTTTGTATTTCAAAATTTTTAATTACCTTACTTTGAGTTTATGTTTTGCTTATGAGACTTCCTGTGCGTGTGATAGGATCAATTAAAAATCTGTATCTGTAAGCAACTAATGTTATGAAGTTTTACAGTGTAAGTCCTCTACTGGGCAGTTACTTTTCTATCAGAAAACTTTTATTCTATAACTGCCTTAGGGGAAAATAGCATTTAATTCTTTCTCTTTCTTGATTCTTTTTAGGCAGTTAAATTCTAGCTTATATTAAAGGAGGGGGAAAAAGGGAGAGTGGAGCCAATATGTTTGGAATGATAGTTGAGAGATTAGGAATTTTTTGTTCCTTTTTGTGAGAGCCCGAAACAGATAGCTAGGGATGAATGAGAGTAGATAAAGAGTTAGTTGCTTTCATTTTTATTTGTCTCCCAATTGTTAGCATAATGTTATAAGCCCAGGAATACAAAAAAATAAAAAGTTAATGTATAGGACAAGTATAGACAAAAAGGCCAAGAGAGATGATTAGTGTCAGAAAAAAGTGAAGATAGGTAGAAGAAAAAATTGGGGAAGAACCATTGATTTTCATGTAAAGTATATCATCACATTTTATATAAAATCTAAAAAAACTGATGTTTATAGGGAGTAAAAGGTTATTTGGTTACAGTCAAATTTGCTAACTTTTAGGGTAGTAAAGAAATGTATCAGGACTGGTTATTTTTAAGAGATGGGTAATTTAGTAGGCTTTTATCTATATATGTTTGTATAAATTTCTGTATTTTGACAATTGGGGGATATAGAAAGGTTGAAATGAGAGAGATGTCAAAGAGTATAAGAATTGAAAGTAACTTTGTTTTCCATACAGCTCTTGGTACTTAAATATGTACAAAACAAAGACGTTTTTATGAGATATCACAAAGCTCATTTGACGCGACGTCTTATATTAGACATCTCTGCTGATAGTGAAATTGAAGAAAATATGGTAGAGTGGCTAAGAGTAAGTAAAATTTTTTTTAAATATTTGGTTTTCTAATATAGCACATGATTCATATGTGTGCTTAAGTAATACATTTTGGTGATATTGTTAATGTCAAAAAATAGAGATCATTTTGTAAGACTATAGCATCAGTTATATAAAATAAAGTGTTATCTAATAAAGTTATTTATTTATTTTTTTCCTTTTTGTCTTTTTTACTGACCGGTAACGGGATCGCAACCCTCGGTGTCGCGCCCACACTGCGCTCAGCCAGTGAGCGGGAACCGGTCTCCACATGGGATCCGAACCCTCGGCGGGAGCACCGCCGCACTCCCAAGCAGCGCACTCTCCAGTGCGCCACCGGGCCGGCCCATAAAGTTAATTTTTTAATAAAGACTTTTAGTAAAGTACTTTTGTTCTTGCTTTGTTTCTACTTTTTCATTCTCATTTGTACCACCACTCGTATTTGAACTAACCTTATTAAATAGATTCCAGGACAAATCATTTCATTTTTAAGGTGTTTTCATTACTAAATGCTTAACTATAGGATATTTATAAATAAATAACAATAGGGCCGGCCCGGTGGCGCACTGGATAGTGCGCTGCTTGGGAAGCGCGGTGGCGCTCCTGCCCGAGGGTTCGGATCCCACATACAGACCGGTTCCCGCTCGCTGGCTGAGCGAGGCGCGGGAGCAGCACCAAGGGTTGCAATCCCGTTGCTGGTCCCGGTCCGGTACGGGGGCGACACTGAGGGTTGCGATCCGTTGCCGGACACGGAAAAAGACAAATAAAAATAAAAATAAATAAATAAATAACAATAAATTCTTCTATATAGTAAAATGACCTTTAGCTTATAGCTTATTTAGTGCTAATTATAATTAAATTAAATTTGCATTTAAAACTAGTTTGTGTTTATTCAGTTCATTTTAATGGAATTTGAGTTTTATTAAAGTGATTGTCCTTCATTTCTGTATATAAAGATAGATATTTTAAATTAGGATAGTAAAAATACTGTGTTAACTGAAACTGTGCACAGTGGGAAAAATAATGATTGTTCTGTGACTTTTAAAAATTTTTGTCAAAACCTTCAAAACTCTTACTGACATTTATAAGTATATAGGAAAAGGGAAAAATAGCAAAACTATATGTATTTCGTATTCTGCAGTTTAAAACACAAGAAGCTTTCAGAATTTAAGTGCTTTATTTGTAAATGTATCAAAAGTAGTTAGGAAGATATTTGTAATTCATATGTCTAATATTATATCTAGAATATCTAAACTCTTACTCCTACAATGCAGCAATAAAACAACAACAAATAACCCAATTAAAAATGGGCAAATGATTTGAATAGACATTTCTTCACAGAAGATATACAGATGGTCAGTAAGTGCATGCAAAGATGCTCAGCATCATTAGTCATTAGTGAAATGCAAATTCAAACCCACAAGGAGATACTACTTTACTCTTACTAGGATAGCTAAAATAAAGACAATGAAAATGTTGGTGAGGAAGAGGAGAAATTGGAACCCTCATAAATTGCTGGTGGGCATCTAAAATGCTGCAGCCACTTTGGAAAATTGTTTGGCAGTTCTTCAAAAAATTAAACATAAAGTTGACCCAGCAATTTCACTTCTAGCTAATTCCACTCAAGAGAAGTGAAAACATATGTCCGTGCCAAAACTTGTATACAATGTTAGTGGCAACATTCTTCATAATAGCCCCAAAGTGGAAACAACTTAAAATGTCAATGAGCTAATGAAAAACCAAAATGTGGTGTAGTCATAAAATGGAATATTATTTGGCAATAAAAAGAAATGAAGTACTAGTACATGCTGTGATAGGGATGAACTTTGAAAACATTACAGTCCTAAAGAAGCCAGTCACAGAAGACCACATGTCATATGATTCTACTGATATGAAATGTCCAGAATAGGCAGATCTACAGAGACAGAAAATAGATTAGTGGTATCCAGGAGCTGGGGTGGAGAGGGGAAATGGAAAGTGACTACACATAAGTATAGGATTTCCTTTAGGGGTGATGAAGATGGTCTAAAATTAAACAGTGGTGATGGTTGCTCAACTCTGCGAATATACTAAAATCCACTAAATTGTGTACTTTTTTTTTTTCTGCGACTGGCTGGTAAGGGGATCCGATCCTTTGACCTTGGTGTTATCAACACCACACTCTACCAATTGAGATAACTGGCCAGCCCTTGTATACTTTAAAAGGATGAATTTTATGGTTGATGAAGTATATATCTCAATAAAGCTGTTATTAAAATGAAGAGTAATTTGAATAGCACTTACCTTCTTGTCTTATAACTTACAAAAAGAATAAGTTCTATGCCTTGGACAGTTGTATCCCCTTTTTAAGTTTGGATCAGCTTCCAGCATTTTATCTTTTGGGCTTTCAGTGTTATGAAATACTGAGAGTTTACTGTAAAGTTTTTGCCATTGTCATTCCCTCTGGGGTATCTTACTCTTTTTGTTATTTGCCACTTTTCTCATTTATGTTGATAATTTGCTTTCCCTAAGTTCCTAGGCCTGCATATCTGTAGAGTCCTTAACGTTGGCCTGTCAACATGATGCCCACAGTCAGCTTTCTTCTGTAACTCCATTTATGTTTTATTTCGTTTTCATTTACAACATTATTGCTTTTCATTTCTTCAGTGTACTTTTATCATCTCTGTTGGCCAGTTACCTCTTTTGATTATCCATTTTTGTTAAACATGTGGGTTTATTATTGGTAGACAAGGATGCAACAAAACTACACTTTTCTGTCTGGATTAACCGAATAAACAGATGACTATTTTGAAAGTATTGTGATTGGCCACTGGTCATGATGTGCTTCTGTTACTTTTGTAATTTGTGGATTGAGGAGCTAGAAATGATTTTTGTACTTTATGCAATTACATTTATTATACAGTGGCAACTGAAAGTTGAACTTAATAGGTATTAGGCTATAAACATTGTAATAAATAAGGGTAAGAGGGATAATTTTGTATTAAAGCATCCAAGACTTAGTTTTTTATTAAAATTTTTTCTAATAGTATATCAGATTATGTATTTATTGCCTGTTCTATCTTTGGTTTTTGTAGGAAGTTGGTATGCCGGCAGATTATGTAAACAAACTTGCTAGAATGTTTCAGGACATAAAAGTATCTGAAGATTTGAACCAAGCTTTTAAGGAAATGCACAAAAATAATAAATTGGCTTTACCAGGTATTATTTTATATTTACACATACATTTAAACTTTTAAAAACTTAAACTTTTAAAAAAAGAATCTTTGTTTTCAAGTAAAATAAAAATAAACATCAGCAGTAATAGATCCAAAGATGTTATGAAGTCCATGTTCCTTGGAGATAGCTGTCAAAGCAGAATGTTAGATTTGCAGATCCTTATTTTGAAACAAAAGGACACTTTTAACAAAATCTGTAAATCCTTGTTTATTTTTTGCCAAAGCTTACCCTGTATTATTTATTTTGAATTTCATCTGTCAAAATTATTTACTTTATATCTATATGTTCTAATATTCTTGCCCGTAGCTGATTCAGTTAATATAAAAATTCTGAATGCTGGCGCCTGGTCACGGAGCTCTGAGAAAGTCTTTGTCTCACTTCCTACTGAACTGGAGGATTTGATACCTGAAGTAGAAGAATTCTACAAAAAAAATCATAGTGGTAGAAAATTACATTGGCATCATCTCATGTCAAATGGAATTGTAAGTAGATGGTATCTTAATTCAGCTATCAGTTTAGGTGAAGGTAGCAGGATTCCAAATAAGAGTTATTTAGACAATGTAGATTTTTGCCCCTCTCACATGTGAAAGTTTGAACAGGAATAGTGGATCTGTTCCATGAAGTTGGTAGGGACATAGGCTTCTGGTTATACCATCACACTTAAGCTATTGTCCTTGTCTGCAGAATCCATTATGATTCCCTCTATGTCTGTCTTCCTGTCAAGAGGAAGGGAAATGAGAGGGTGCTCCTTTTAAGGACAACTTCTAGAAGTTTCTTCTGTCATTTCCATTCCCATCACACTGGCCAGAAGTCAGTCACACGACCACATTTTTGCTACAGGGAAAAATGAGATGTGTCTGTACTCCGGGCAGTCATTAAAGTCTGTCAAAAGTTTTAGTACCTTGTAAGAAAGGGAAAATGGATAGTGGAAAACAACTAGCAGTCTTTTTCACAGATATTGTACTAGATAGATGGTAATCATGATGAAGATGTTCTTTATTAAAAATCTATTTCATCTATTATAGATAACATTTAAGAATGAAGTAGGTCAATATGATTTGGAGGTAACCACGTTTCAGCTGGCTGTGTTGTTTGCATGGAACCAAAGACCCAGAGAGAAAATCAGCTTTGAAAATCTAAAACTTGCAACTGAACTCCCTGATGCTGAGCTTAGAAGAACTTTATGGGTTGGTTTGTTTGTTTTATGTTTTTTGTTTTTAAAATTGTATCCTATCAGGTAGCAGGAAATATGTGATTGGCTTGTAACAAATTTTTGAATTCATAACACTCTGAAAAATGCTTTTTAACCTAGAAAAATGTACAAGTGAGGTATTTATGGAAAAAAGAGACTGAAAATAGGCAAGTTACTAAGACAGAGAAGGATTGAGTTGGTTTTTAAATGTTACCTTGTGAGGAATGTGACCAAAAACATGTACTTAATTTTTATACTGAGAGTATGTTCAAAGATTTTTATGATGACCAAAACTCAAAGAGTTAGAAAACTTTGGTCCTTTCAAGGACTTGTAAAATGTACTCATTACCCTACTGCTTGTAACTACATTACTCCTACTCCATAGAATTTTTATGTTTACCTATGGAGGAAACAGCTGGTATATATCCGGCAAGTGGTGTTTGCAGTGGTGCTGTGACCAATTCTAATTTCCTGTCCTATCGTTAAGAGAGCATTTATTTTTTATTTTTTATTATTATTATTATTTTTTGTCTTTTTCTGTGTCCGGCAACGGATCGCAACCCTCAGTGTTGCCCCCGTACCGGGCCAGGGACCGGCAACGGGATTGCAGCCCTCGGCGCTGCTCCCGCGCCTCGCTCAGCCAGTGAGCAGGAACCGGTCTGTATGTGGGATCCGAACCCTCGGGCGGGAGCGCCGCTGCGCTTCCCAAGCGGCGCACCATCCAGTGCGCCACCGGGCCGGCCCAAGAGAGCATTTATTGCTTCCTCATAGCCAACTCTTCTCTCCTCCTCCACTCGTTCCTCATTATGCATTTACATTGCTGTATTCATGAAAGTACCAAATAAAAGTTTGAATTCTGAATTTGTTTATAATCCTTTCTTATTTATTTTGATCATGTTGGAGATTGACCTTAGTATTCCCTACTGTATATAGATGCTAATTGTTTTTTCTTTATTCTTCATAGTCTTTAGTAGCTTTCCCGAAGCTCAAACGGCAAGTTTTATTGTACGAACCTCAAGTCAACTCACCCAAAGACTTTACAGAGGGTACCCTCTTCTCAGTAAACCAGGAGTTCAGTTTAATGTAAGGTTTATGTTGGTTCATCTAAAATAAAATTACCTTGTTTGAATTTTAGTTCTTTGTTTTTTAGCAAAATATTATTTTCCTTACATGATATTTAAAACATAACTGTATAATGTTATCACTCTAAATTTATATCATTTAGTTGTTTATTGGAGGTGTTTACTTCTTTACCATATTTTTCATGGACACTTTTTTGGTATCTTACATTATACTGTTGCTTTTCGTGTTTAAAGTAAACATCCTTTGGCACTCTAAGGTAACTTTATCCAGGCAAAGTATTTTTCTTAAGATCCAATAAAATGATAATGCTGAACCATAACCCATCTATATTCAATTGTCAAATTATTTTCATGGCAATATAAATTATATTAACTTTGTTATTAGAGGAAGTGTAGTCATTTTATTAAAAGGCTATAACATGTTTGAGGGGAATTACAGAGTTTTAAATAAAGCTATATATGTTGGTTATTGTTACCTTTCCTTTAAACAGTTCTGGATATAATTTTTAGAATATTTCTCAACCTTTTCTCTCATACATTGTTGCTATAATATGTTTAAAGCCCTTTCACTGTAAAATATTTGATTCAATGTTTTTTATAGAAAAAATGCAAAAGTACAGAAAAGGGGTAAAATCAACTTGATTGGACGCTTGCAGCTCACTACAGAAAGGATGAGAGAAGAAGAGAATGAAGGAATAGTTCAACTAAGAATATTAAGAACCCAGGTTTGTAATATTAAGATAGAATATCTAAATTTTGAAACATCTTGTTTTGTTTTGTTTTTAAATCTTTGAACCATTTTTTAATTTAAAAGCGTGTAGGTATTCAACCTTTGTAAGAAGGAGCTAATCGTCATTTTACTGGAATTTAAAATCATATTCTCTTAGCTGCTGAAAGTGATGTCTGTAGGGCCTGATGACCTCCAGTAGATTCTGCTCTATTGGTTAAGTAAAACCTTGGTTTTGGTTATGTTTTTCTTGGACCTCCATCTGAATAAATATATCTCAGCAACAAATTACAGTTGTAGGATTGAAGTACTTAAATTTGTATTTAATTTTAAAACTTCTAATTTTGATGTAATGTGAAATTAGGAAATTATTTTATTTAGAACCAAAAAAAGTTCTCTGTTATCCATTTCTTCTTTTATTTTTTTTAATTTATTTTTTATTTATTTATTTATTTTTAAAAAGATGACCGGTAAGGGGATCTTAACCCTTGACTTGGTGTTGTCAGCACCACGCTCACCCAGTGAGCAAACCGGCCATCCCTATATGGGATCTGAACCCGTGGCCTTGATGTTATCAGCACCGCACTCTCCTGAGTGAGCCACAGGCTGGCCCCATTTCTTCTTTTAAAAATACTCTACGGTGTTGATAACACCAAGGTCAAGGGTTTGGATCCCATTACTGGCCAGCTGCCAAAAATAAATAGATAAATAAAAATAGAATAAAAAATATATATATATTTTTTATATGATGTGACTTTTTAAAATTTTTATTGAATCAAAATTGATTATACATATTTTGGGGATTCAACATTGAAATATGTTGATGCAATCAATATTACTAGCATATATATTGTTACAAATCATAATTATTCTTTATGCTCCTTGTCCAATCTCTCCCCATCCCCCCTCCAATTACCCTAGATTTCTTCTCTCCCTCTGAAAGAATAATAGTTACTCTGTTGATTTGTTGCCTAGATGATCTGTCCAATTCTGAGAGGTGTGATCAGGTCCCCCAACATTATCATAGAGCAGATGCTTCTTCTATCACTCTGAAATGAGCTTTGTGAAGAGAGACATCCTCTTCTTTTCTTTATCTCTGCTGGTGACTCTCCTTGTGTAAATGCACTCCAGTGGCTGACAGACTATCTTCGTGGTGGTTGAGGTGTCTGGCCACTTTCGCAGCAGCTGTGGTTATTGTGGTGGCTGTGGGGGGCCACCCACATGGAGGTGATGTTTTTTGCATGCCCCAAGGCACTGGCGTGATGTGCCTGGTTGCGGGAGTGGGGGTCTGGTCCCCAGCTCCAAGCCTCAGATTCCCAGGCAGGCCTCGAGGCACTGGCAGTGTGAGTGGTTGTGGGTAGGGGTCCTGTCCTCGACTCCATGCTTCATGTCCCCTGGCAGGCTCCAAGGCGCTGGTGGTGTGCATGGGCCGGAACTAATTTTGTCCTTTGCTTACTTCTAACACGGGGGAACTTCCTGCGGGAACCAGTACTTGAGCTCTGTGGTTTAGCTAAATTGCTGCTTTGCTGCTGTTTCCCTAGGGAAGGCTTTTTGTGCAGTTCAGGGCTTAATGGTTGACCTTATAGGTACTTCGAGCTCTCCAGAGAGTCGGTGCACCTGGGTTGTGTAGAAACTCTGATCTGGGCCTGAGTTTTTTCATCAAACTGCACCCTATGCAATTCTGCATCCCCAACCAGTCTCCTCTGAGAGGTCCTATGCTGACTGAGGGGCAGATCAGCTGTCCTTGCTGTGTCCCGGTGTTCTCCCAGTGGGCCTATCTCCCCCAGCACCCATGCTCCAAACATTTCCCATGGGACAGGCCCTGTACCGGTCCCCTGTGTTGACTTGCTGGCGTCTGAATGGCTCCCTTTTTTCAGCTGTTCTGGCTCCTCTCTCCTGTGTGGGTCCATGGGAATCCTCTCAGGGGTCTTGCTGTCCTGGGGGCCACCAAGCCCCTCTTCTCCTCTGCCGCCTCCTAGTAACTCCATCTGAAGGGCACAGCTAAGGCTTCTGCCAGCTCCTGCTCCATGTACTCGGCAGCTCCAGCATTAAAGCAGCTACAGTCCGGAACACTCAGAGCAATTTTTTCTTTCTCTCATCGTGGTTTCTCCTGCCTTCATGAACACCATAGTTCTCTCCTCATCTTCCCCTGAGCTCCAGTGGGCCCAGCTTGGCTAATGTTACATTTTTATAGTTGTAAATTGGTTGATCTGTGGGAGAGAGTGACGCTGGGGACCATCTATTCTGCTATCTTGACTGGAACTCGTTGAATAAAAATATTTTAAAACCAGAATTATGATATCTTCTTCTTTTTTTTTTTTTTTTCTTTTTTTCTTTTTGGTGGCTGGCCAGCAAGGGGATCCAAACCCTTGACCTTGGTGTTAGAAGCACCGTGCTCTAACCAAGTGAGTTTATCATCCAGCCCTAGAATTATGATACCTCTGAACATGATAAAGAGTACCTATTACAAACTAATGTATGGTTGTTTTAACTTTAGAAATAGTCTTTTAAAAACCAAGTTGTTCCACTTTTACTATTTTTATTTTTGTTTGAAACTTCTGGCCAGTGCAACAAAATATGAAACAAGGAAAAGACTGATATTTTTCATTACTTATAGATCACAGAATATGATACAGTAGCAGAGAAAAGATGAATAAATAAAAACCAATTGCTTTTTTATGTTAGCAATAAATAATTAAGGGGAAAATAAAATGAGAAACCATAAAATTTATAGGCATTTTTAAAAAGGTAGTACGTAGGACCTGTATGAAGAGAGTGGCTCTTTTGAATAAATAAAAGGGATAAACTCTTTTTTTCTTGTTCAAATTTTTGAAAGGTCTGGCCATTTGGCTCAGTTGGTTAGAGCATGATGTTATAGCACCAAGGTCAAGGGTTTGGATCCCCTTACCAGGCAGCCTCCAAAAAAATTAAAAAAGAAAGAAAATTTTGGGAGGTGTAATTTATATACAATGGAATGCACCTTTCAAAGCGCAATTTTCAATGAGCTGCAATAAATGTATATACCTACATGACTGTCACCCCAATTAAGATACAGAACATTACTGTCATTCCAGTAATTTCCTATGTTTCCTATCCAGCCAGTCTGCCCCGTACCTCAGCTGATTCTTATCACCATTGCTTAGTTTTACCTGTTCTAGGTCTTCATATAAATGGAATCAGACAGTATATACTCCTGTGTCTGGCTTCTTTTGCTCAATATGAGATTTCTTATTCTTTCTTGATAAGGCTGAATAACTTAAAGAGTCCATTTTTCCCATATTAGTACCAGGTTCACTAAATTTCATATAAAAATTCAACTCGGAACATTTTTGGAATTTTACAAATTGATTCTTAGTTTTATCAAAGTAAATAAGTTAGAGTAATTGAGAAACTTAATAAGAATAAGGTGATGGTGGTGGTGGAGCTTGCCCTGCCAAATATTAAAGTCTATTAAAATATCTACAAGGGCCGGCCTGTGGCTCACTCGGGAGAGTGTGGTGCTGATAACATCAAGGCCACGGGTTCGGATCCCATATACGGATGGCCGGTTTGCTCACTGGGTGAGCGTGGTGCTGACAACACCAAGTCAAGGGTTAAGATCCCCTTACCGTTCATCTTTAAAAAAAAAAAAAAATCTACAAAAATAAAACAGCATGGTAAGACAATTAACTGAAGAAAATAACTAGAGTTAAACCTGCTGTGTAAGTATAGACAAACTTATGTGATAAAGGAAAGAGTTTTCATAATGCATGAACAGGAAATGTATTATTCAATGGGAGGTATTGGGAAATGTAGTATACTTTTGGGGGTAAAATCAAGATATATTCCTTGTTGACAGCCAAACCAGGATAAATTCCAGGTAGATTAAAGAGTTGAAATATGTAATGGGATGGCAGGTGTAGTCATATTATACGATGTCCAGAGAAAGTGGAGTTCTTTTGTTTTGTCTTAAACTGATCCACAGTTATGCCCAATCCAATAATCTAAGCTATTTCTTTAGGTAGTGCTCTTTCTTTAGGTAGGTGCTATTTCTTTAGGTAGAAGACTTTCTTCTTTCTTTGTGATTCTACTCTATTCATCCCCATTGTTGGCTGTTATTATCGGTGGCATCTGAATATATTGAGTGTAAGAGGAATTCATTTGACCTCGTAGTGACAGTGAGGGGATCTTAATATCTAAATAGTTGTGACATTTGTCCTGGGTTCTTTTTTTTTTTTTTTTTTTTTAAAGATGACCAGTAAGGGGATCTTAACCCTTGACTTGGTGTTGTCAGCACCATGCTCACCCACTGAGCAAACCGGCCATCCCTATATGGGATCCGAACCCAGGGCCTTGGTGTTATCAGCACCACTCTCCCGAGTGAGCCATGGGCCGGTCCTTGTCCTGGGTTCTTGCTCTTGGCAGTTCTTGAGTGGTTTCTCTCTCATCTTTGGGAATTTGGCTTTCTGTTGGTATACACTGCTAATGTCTGTAGCAGATGAATGTATGGCTTATTCTTTTACCAGTTGGTAAGGGCCACATGGCCTCTTCTCTGCTCTGACTGCCATTCCCCTGCTCTTGCTGAGTTTTGAGTCCTCTGAGACTCTGTCACATCTTCTGTGTGACCCCTTGGCCTACATGGTACATAATAGGATAACCTAGCCCTGCTACTAAAGGCCCCTGTGCCGGGTCCATTGGCTCTAAACTCTATCTATATCGTGTGGGAACTGAGGGAGGTTCAGGAGTGCAAATTCTCTCCATCATATCATGTCACTCTTTAAGTGAGCTCCAGCATATCGAATGGGGACCAGGAACAGAACCCCTGTGCTCTGTTTTTCTCTTAGCTTCTCGAAGACAACCACCACCTTCACCTTTACCAAAGCTAGAAGAGGAGAAACAGACATTTACAGTTGTCCTTCCTTTTCACCCGTGGTTCCTGTAACCTTCAGTTGCCTGAAGGACAGATTTGGATACTTTCCCTCTTCACAGACTTTCCATCTTCCTTCTTGCTATCTGGACTCTTGACATAAACTCTGTTTATAGTCTATGACCAAGAGCCTGGTATCTCAGTTTATTGAGGGTGGAAGGAATTCACTTGACCTTCTAGTGTCATATCTATACAGGGGAAGTTGAAGGAATTTTCCTTTTTTTTTTTTTTTTTCTTTTGGCAGCTGGCTGGTACTGGCATCCAAACCCATGACCTTGGTGTTGTAAGGCTGCATCCTAACCAACTGAGCTAACCAGCCAGCCCAGGAATTTTTCTGTTGCTGAATAGTGCCTGACTCCAAACCTACTGATTTGCAGGAAAATTTCGTTTTAAATGCTAAAAGCATATTTTACTTCTTTTTCTCTTTTCACATTTCTTTTATATCAAATTCTAATCTCCACCCAGGCAGATAGGTGCCTTTTGTTAGCCAATGAGAGGGCTTGTACTGGAAAAGGTAAAAGAGAAAAGAATATTTAATAATTTTCAAATAGCCCCTATTGTAAGCTTAATAGTAATTTTGAAAGTCATCAAGACTATTGATAAAATTGACCTAAATGAAAAATGTTTATTCCTTTAGAAAGTTAGCATTTAATTGAGCCAATACAAACTTAAGATGGTATTAATAGCAAATATTATTTATTAAGCTAGTAAATACATAAAGAGCAATACTTACTGATTTTTTATTTATTTTTATTTTTATTTTTTTTCCTTTTTGTCTTTTTTCGTGTCCGGCAACGGATTGCAACCCTCAGTGTTGCGCCCGTACTGGACCGGGACCGGCAACGGGATCGCAACCCTCCGTGTCGCACCCGCACCTCGCTCAGCCAGTGAGCGGGAACTGGTCTGTATGTGGGATCCGAACCCTCGGCGGGAGCACCACCGCGCTCCCGAGCGGCGCAGTGTAGCAGTGCGCCACCGGGCCAGCCCCTTACTGATTTTTTAAACAGACACCAACTGTCCTCTACTACTACACAAAGAAATATCTCTGAATATAAGGGAAAAATTGCGTGTAAGGAAAAATTTTTTGTATCTTAATTTATGTTTAACACAATACCAGGTTATATATATATCATGTTCACAGGTAAAATAAATTTTTAACATGTGCATTGTGTGGAAAAAAGGATTGAAAGGAGATATATCAAAACATTAGATGTGCGGGCCGGCCCGTGGCTCACTCGGTAGAGTGCGGTGCTGATAATACCAAGGCCACGGGTTCGGATCCCATATAGGGATGGCCGGTTAGCTCACTGGTTGAGCGTGGTGCTGACAACACCAAGTCAAGGGTTAAGATCCCCTTACCGGTCATCTTTTTAAAAAAAAAAAAAACATTAGATGTGGTTTTCTTTCAACAGAGAGGTTATGGATAATTTTGCTTTTCCTTTTAAGCAGATTTTCCTTTATGGGGAGTAAAAAAAGATATTTTTATTTGTTAAGTAAAAGATAATGGTCTCAAGATTTATCTCATAGTGATTGCTATTCATTTGGATAGATATTGGATAGAGGATGAAATACGTAAAAAGCCATTTTTTGTTTTGTTTTACTTAATTTATTAATGCTCTTTCATTTTTATTTTTTCTTTTAGGAAGCTATCATACAAATAATGAAAATGAGAAAGAAAATAAGTAATGCTCAGCTGCAGACTGAATTAGTAGAAATTTTGAAAAACATGTTCTTACCACAAAAGAAAATGATAAAAGAGCAAATAGAATGGCTAATAGAGCACAAATACATCAGAAGAGATGAATCCGATATCAACACTTTCATATATATGGCATAACTTTGAATTTCATGGACAAAATTAAGACCCCAAATTTTGGAGTGCTTGGACAGAAAGTTGTAACAGTTTGTGCTGAAGAAAGGCTTATTTGGACTTTGATTACATAAATATTAAAATCTCTGCCTTACCTTACAAAACAACTATATTTTGCCAATCACATTAGTTAGCATGATGGCATTTTCCCTTCATGTTGCACACTCTTTAACAGCATGCTGTTTTGTGGAGAAACTTGCATTCATGAAGACCCCTTATGAACTTTTAAAAGTAAATTTGATTTGTACCCACTAGGAGAAATACAGTTGGGAAGGGTAAGGATGGGGTTCTTGTTGCTTTTTTCTCTTTTTTCCTCTCTTGAAAAAAATGTACTTGCACAGGAAGGATCTTCAGATACTCATGCACTGAAAAATGCTGTTATCTTTTGTTTTTAAAAAATGCAATTAAAACTAGAAATAGCACTGTTGGTTTCTTTTGATGAAAAGAGTGAGCTGGTCAACACAACGTTGGGAGAGGGCAGATGAAGGTGAGAGATAAGTATTTTAATAGTATCAAATTGTTTGTTCAAACATTGCTTCAGTGTAATAACTAGATTTTAATGGCGACCTATAAATAGTATTAAATATTTCAAACTTACAAACGTTGGTTTCTTTTAAGCAGGAGACTGCTGTTTTAGTTGTTAAATGATAAGGTTTTTGGTGTTTTTTTTTATGTTATGTTATATGGCTGGAGAGCTTGTTTTGAAAAAGTGAGACTTATGTTAATTGTTGCTTCAATTGTTTAAAAAAAAATGTATGGAAATAGGCAGGTCATTACGATTGCAGAGTCAGAATAGCAAAACAAACATATTAAGTGTGTTAGTAAACACACTTAATATGTATATACCTAATATTTATGATGCCATGTCTAAATTTATGGAAAGGAATTCAGAAATCTCCTGCTCTGATATAACATAGTTATGTAACTGATCTCTTAATCTGTGGCATAGAACTATTTTAGTATTTTAAATCTCATGATTAGGGATTTATAGCCTCAAGTTTCTGGAAAGAAAGACATTCTCTTTTAAAAAGTAGTAATTAAGTATCAGTCACCCAGGAGGAAAAGGACAACCACAACTAAGACCTGAAAAGCATAAGCAAAATTGTTGCAATCATAATATGAGCAGTAAACTTGCCAAATATATGTACATATATATTTATATAGTTTAAAAATAAACATTTAAAAAATGTTCAGAAGGCAACACTTACCTTGTTCCTTCCAGTCAGTCCAAAGTGGCAATTTATTACTTGCTGGCAACTGAATACCCAGAGTAGAGGAAATCTGAGGACTGAAGGACTTGAACAACTTAAAAGAGAAAAATTTATTCTCCATTGGAAAAGAATGGCTCAACATGGATTTTTATTCATTGTGGTGCACATTTCAAGTTTTCTTACAAATTATTTTATATCTTGTTTCATGTTAATATTTTAAAAGTATGGTTTTGAAGATTGTAGGAAATGGAGTGCTGAAAGACATACAGTATTATATTACAGCAGAGTGCTTTTAAGAGCATTTCATGAAATCTGTCCCCAAGCGGCTTTGTGAGCTGCCTCTTGAAAGGAAGAAAAGCAAATTTAAAACATTTAAGGTTTTGCTGATTGTAGTCAAATGCCTATTCTGAAATTCATAGGAAATTGGAATTTTGTTTATAATTTAAAATCTTACACTTCAGCTCTAAGGTAGCATATGTCAATTATTGGACCAAGAATATTACGAAGAATTAAACTAAAGTTAGTGCTCACTGTTTTCTCTAATTAGATGACTGTTAACAGTGGATAAATTTGAAATTTAGAAGAAATAATTTTGTAATAATTATGGCTCTTATGTTTAACAAATAGTTTGGTATTGGTATATTTGCTTGCCCCAATACAAGAATGCCAAAAAAGAAAACAATGGGAGGAAAAATTATAGGCCATTTTTTAAAGTTTAAGATTTGTTGTTTTAAACCATAATCGTTCTCAGAATTTTTTTGGAATTTCTAATCTTTTTGCTCATTTAATTTGAGAATGAGAGCCATGATGTTTTGATTTATAAAGTCAAATCTAATGCAAAAGTGGGTAACACTAAATCCATAGAAAAATTTTCTATTAAATTTTATACATTTTTAAATAGCTAATTATGTCCTAATTGTATTTTGGGGATTGAACAGTAGCAAATACTGTAGGCTTACAGTTTTCATCTTTTTTTGTTGTTGTGTATACAAAAGTTTGTCTAACTACTTTTTGGTGTTTACGAAAACCATTTATTTGACAAGGTGCCTGTACCATTGTTGAATTTTCTTTAAATATGTTTTGACAATAGATTTGCTAATAAAAAGCTGAAAAAAAAATCTTAGCAATTTGCTAAAGGTACAGAATCACAGTTAGTATACTTTATCAGGTATCTTTTCTCCAATGTGCACTTAAAATTAGTGCTATCTGAGCAGAGATGAAACCTGACATAGTTAAGGGAAAAGAAAATCTAGCCCCCCTGACGCCACCCCCCAAATATATATTTAATTCATTTTCATGAGTAGTATGGCAGAAGGACACTTCAGAGGTTAATTTAGGCTTTGAATACTCATCTTCTAATATAAAGATGGAGCCATCTGGAAAATGTTAACCTTTGTTGCCATCTCATTGACAGAGTTAAGTAGACATGAAACAATGAAAATATAGAACAATTTTGATGCTTACAGTGAGATAAATATTAGAACATTACTGTTCCAATGATTTAGTGAGGATCTTGAAATAAATTCTGAAGTCTTCCAATTTTTACATTTAATGGAGGGGTTCCTGAGTTCTGTCACCTGTTTGTTTAAGTCTCTGGCTCTTATTTTGTGCATAAATGTTAAAATTTCCAAAAATGAAATGTTAGCTTTCTTTTTTCTACTTTTTATTATTAAATTTAATACAAAATATGACCTGCATAGTTAAGTATTTTGCATTATTCGCAGTAGGATGTCATTAGCCCTGCTCAAAGGGCAAATTTTAAAAATTCAATTTGGGTGAAAAATTTGCTAGTTTTACAGAAAGATTTGCTATCTTAAACTCAAGCTGGTTTTTCTATTTTCATGTAAATGACTGGGATGCTGTCTTATAAATCCTTCCAAGGTCATGTTTGTGAATAAACATTACATGAGAGCTTTCCTGTCATCTACACTATTTGTTGTCTGCAGCGTTGAACAAATTTTGAGTTCCTGAGTTGTAATCTATCCTCATATGGTCTATACAGTTTTGAATGTGTGCCACTACATACTGAGATGATAATGCTGTACAGTTTTAAATGGTAGCCATTTCTGTATGCAGTAGGCTGAAATATTTTGATGAACTGCTTAATTTTTGGATTTTATTTTTTAAGTTGTATAATTTATTTTCTTGCAAAATAAAAGTGTAATATAAAAGCTTTCACCTATCCAGAAAATGTTGATATTCTATTATAAAATAGTTTCTAAGAATTTAATTTAGGGCCAGCCCGTGGCTCACTCGGGAGAGTGTGGTGCTGATAACACCAAGGCCCCGGGTTCGGATCCCATATAGGGATGGCTGGTTCGCTCACTGGCTGAGCGTGGTGCTGACAACACCAAGTCAAGGGTTAAGATCCCCTTACTGGTCATCTTTAAAAAAAAAAAAAAAAAAGAATTTAATTTAATTTAATTTAAGTTTTTATAGTAGGTGAAATAGTCTCAGCCAGCCTCAGGAATCAGAAATATGAAAAGTAACCCACTTTTTTTTAGATTTCAAATTCTCATTCAAAATGAAAGCAGTCGAGAGTGTAGCTTTTCCACTAATGATAACATATAGCTGTCATGCCTTGAAGAGGTCAAAAATTTCAGATCTCAAAGTGATTAATACATTCATAAGTTTTGGGCCGGCCCGTGGCTCACTCGGGAGAGTGCGGTGCTGATAACACCAAGGCCACGGGTTCGGATCCCACATAGGGATGGCCGGTTCGCTCACTGGCTGAGTGTGGTGCTGACAACACCAAGTCAAGGGTTAAGATCCCCTTACCGGTCATCTTTTAAAAAAAAAAAAAATACATTCATAAGTTTAGAGCTGGCCAGTTAGCTCAGTTGGTTAGAGCACCACCTTGTAACACCAAAGTCAAGGGTATGGAACTTCATACCGGCCAGCCACACCTCCCCACCAAAAGAAAATTCATCAGTTTAGATAGGCCATATTATAACAAAATTCAAATTTTATATTGAATAACAATAAAAAATAAGTTATTTCACATTTTGGAAATATTTGAAAATTTGCAAAATACTTATTTCAAATCTAGGGATAGTTTAGTAACAAGGTTATTAAGATGGACAGATATGCCCAATAGCAATTAGTTACTGATAAAGTGAACAATTTAACAATCAGAAAATACTGACTAATGAAAACCTGAATTGTATATAGGGACCTAACTGCATAGAGAAACTAAAAGAAATTTAAAAGGCTCTTTTAAATTCAAAGACCATATGTTATTCATTTCTACTTGTATTAGTCACTAAATAAGTGTTTCTTGGAGAACTGGATGGACGAACACATTTGAGTTCATAATGACCCTAATCTCAACCTTGGACTTTCACTGGGATTGGTGGGAGAGGAGGTTGATTTGGAAATAAAGCTACAGAAAGTATGGTCTCAGTATAAAATTCACCTGAACCAAGAGACAAATTTACCATTAAACTTAAGCTTTTGGTCCCATTACTTGCACAGGCCCCTTCGAAGGCCCTGAGAGGGGCCTTAGGAATTTTGTATTTATAGTTTTGTATTACTTTTTTGTGTGTGTGTGTGACAGCTGGCCAGTACAGGGATTGAACCGTGGACCTTGGTGTTATTAGCACCATGCTCTCCCAAGTGAGCTAATTAGCCCCAATTTTGTATTATTTTTCTTAAAAAGGGACCCCAAAATATCAAAAATTGGATCCAGCCCCTACTACAACTGAGTGCAGAAAGAAACCTGTCTGGTATATAGTAGGACTGAATGTGAATTGAATGAATGAGAGCATGTGTGCCTGAGAACAGAGTAGGGTTCAATATTTTTAGTTTTAAATGAGGAGACTTTATTTGCAATTCCCCATTCTAGATTATACAATCAAATATGGACTTTGTCTTTTTTTTTTTTTTTTTTTTTTGTGACCGGCTGCACCGCACTCAGTGAGTGCACCGGCCATCTCTATATAGGATCCGAACCCGTGGCCAGAGCGCTGCTGCGCTCCCAGCGCTGCACTCTCCCGAGTGCGCCACGGGGTCAGCCCCAAATATGGACTTTGTATGTCACTGAACTCCTGTTTTGATCAATGGTCAATCTGCAGCAGGGGACTTAGGCTATTGAGAAGTTCCAGACTTCTATGAATATCTGATTAAAGCAAAAGACATGCATATAAAGATGTAAACAATTCTGTGTTCACACACCCAAGGTTAAAAATCTATTATTCCCCACACCACATTATTGATTCTACTTCTGTATTAGTTTTAGAATCTGACCTTTGTTTAGCTCTACTTCAACTGTGTAAACTCTGTGAATAAGAACACTTCATAGTATGCTAATACCATCTGAGGTAGGTAAGGATACACCTTGAGTAGCTGCTGGGTTGCTTCTTGGCCTACATTTTTGAAGCAAACTATCTTGAGTAGAGTGGTAAGTATTCAATAAGATTGTTTTAAATCTTTGGCATTTTTGGACCATTGGCCTATCCTTTATTTTTCTCTTAATTGAGCATATACCTCAGTGCCTGAGTCCCAGGACACCAGAACATGTAAATCAGATCTTTCCCTTTAGCCTGTAGCCGAGAGATCACTCCAAATCTAAAGCATAAAAGCAGGGAAAGGATTTTCATCATTCTTTAATTCCCCACTTTCTAGTGCACTAGATCCTTGCTCAGTTAGGGGCCCATTATTTGTGAAATTAAATTGAGAGGCTTGGGAACCACTGTTGACCATCCTCTAAAGGTAGAGGAACATGTAACAAGCTCAAAAGCATTCTCTGGACAAGTAGGACTTCTGTCTTATACTTATTAAGAACTTCCAGGGCCAGCCCGTGGCTCACTTGGGAGAGTGTGGTGCTGATAACACTAAGGCCATGGGTTCGGATCCCATATAGGGATGGCCGGTTGCTCACTGGGTGAGTGTGGTGCTAACAATACCAAGTCAAGGGTTAAGTTCCCCTTACCGGTCATCTTTAAAAAAAAAAAAAAAAACTTTCTTGCATCTCTTTGTTCTAGATCCAGAGAAATCATATGAAAGTTATTTTGGGAACACTCTACTATTGTGCATCTTCCTATTTATATTGTAATCATTTTTTTTCCCTCAGATACATGGGGTACAAATATTGCCATATACCTGCTACAGAAGCTCTGTTGAGACCTATACTTCTTAGATTTCAATGAAGATGTTTTATGGGGCATTGTATTCGCCTGTTTCTGTTGCTTATAACAAAATATACGGAACTGGGTATTTTAGAAAGAAAATAAAATTTATTTGCTCACAGTTTCAGAGGCTAGGAAGTCCAAAGTCCAGGGAACACCTCTGGTGAGAGTCTTGGTGGTGATGACAGTGACCTAGTAGTCTCACATTGCAAGACAGTGGAAGCAGAGAGAGAGAGAGAGACTCTTTGTGCTCCCCTTTTAAAGCCCTCCAAACAACACCCGTGACTACCATTTTTAATCCATTCACTATGGCACGATCCTAACACTCTAATCACTTCTTCAAGGCTTTTCAGTTACCGTAATAGGATTTCCCACCCTCAACAGTTACAGCAAGGATTAAGATTCAGTGAGGTGTGTGTGTGGGGGGGGGGGCATCCATCCAGTCTACAGCAGGCATAAACTAGAAAACCTAAGGAAATGGCATATGCAATTTGACCTAGGATGAGTATGTTAGTTTCCTAGGGCTGCTGTAACAAAGTACCACAAACTGGGTGGCTTTAAACACAAATTTATTGTTGGCTGAGGGAGAATCAGTTCCCTGCCTCTCTCCTTGCTTCTGGTAATTACTGGAAATCCTTGGTGTTCTTTGGTTTGTAGGTGCATCACTCTAGTCCCTGCCTCCGTCTCCACATGGCAATCTCCCCTGAGTGTGTGTATCTTTCTGTGTGTCCTCTCTTGTTTTAAGAACACCAGTCATTAGATTTGAGCAAACCCAAATGCAGTATGATCTTATCTTTACTTGATTACATCTCCAAAGACCCTGTTTCCAAATAATGTCACATTCATAGGTACCAGGAGTTAGGACTTAAACATATCTTTTGGGGTGGACACTATTCAGCCTAGTTCAATGAGTTATTCCAATAGTCTAACTTTGATAGAAGTTGCTTGTTATAGAAGAACTTAATTAAAAGTGAATATCAAATATCTTTGTTGTAGTATGAATCTAATATCCACACATTTTCTTAATTTCTCTTAAACATTTTAAATTTTCCCATTTGTTCCCTGCTGAGAAAATATTGTTCTCATATTTTTTTTTTTTAAAAGATGACCGGTAAGGGGATCTTAACCCTTGACTTGGTGTTGTCAGCACCACGCTCACCCAGTGAGCGAACCGGCCATCCCTATATGGGATCCGAACCCGGGGTCTTGGTGTTATCAGCACCGCACTCTCCCGAGTGAGCCACGGGCCGGCCCTTGTTCTCATATTTTTAAAACTAACTTCTAGAAGTAGGGGCTTATGGGCATTTACAGAGAAGAAGAGATCCGTATTTTATCATGACTCCTAGTATATGTTGCAAGACATATAATTTTGCCACTAGATAGAAGTATTGGCTAGATCACCTTGACAAATGTCACCTTAGAATATAAGATGAACACTTTTTGAAAGATGTAGCTCTTTATTAATAAATCTGTGTCCAGGCACTATATTACCTACTATGGCAGGAATTATAATCCAAAGCCACAAATTCAGGTATGCAAAAATTTTTGTTTAATTCTCTTTTAATTGGACCTAATTTTTTTTTTTTTTTTTTTGACATCTAGCAAGTATGGGGATCCGAACCCTTGACCTTGGTGTTAAAAGGGTGTGCTCTACCAACTGAACTAACTGCCAGCCCAGGACTTAACTTTTATTCCAATACTTCATTTCTATTTCACAGAAGAAATGTTAATCTAGTCACTTTCACCTACACTCAGTCAAATTCAGTTATCTTCTCATAAAATTTAGGTTTAAGGTCCGTCCTTTTCAGGATTACTTTCCTTCCTGGGCGTTCGTATCATCCTGGTTTGCTCAGACATAGGCTTGGGAGGCATTTCCACATTGACTTGTTCAGGGGGCCCAACTTCCTAAGTGTGGGGCCCCTTGCCAATTCCAGCTTGGCTAATTTCTTAACTTTTTTGTTTTTAGGTGGTTCAATTCTGCATTTATTGTGTATTTTAAGTTTTCCAATTATTATTATTTTTTTTTTTCTAAAAGATGACCGGTAAGGGGATCTCA